CTGTTACTNACAATTAGGTAGTTCGACGCCGTCCACATGCGAGGGTTTCGGTACACGACCAGTATTATCAGAGTGTTTCCCATTAAGGAGAGAAGTAGAACGATACAGTATGCAGTTGTTTGGACGGCTTTCGATGTCGTTTCATCGCCAATCGCCTGACAGCTGATAGGATCAGTGGTAAAGTTCCCGAGAGAGGAATTCCTTGTTGTTTTGTTCGTCAGATCCATTTCTGCAGCAGTGTTTTGTCCGGACTGAGAAGTTAAGGGGTGCGAAACTAATAAATGTCGCCACTCTTTAGTGAATGATTGGGTTAATTTACGGAGGAATTATCGTGCCGCGAAAAACACATCAATTTCCAACGCCCATGTGAGAAGCTTTGTAATACTAGTCCAACAAATGCCCACCCAAAAACTGATGGCTTGCACCCAAGTGCGAATATAAAACAGTTAGCAGAATTTGCATTCGATTAATCTTCGTAAAAAAATACCCGGTAGGATATTAATTAGTTATCTCGAGAAAAGCTTTAAAATCTATCTCCCAAACGAATCAAGCAGACTTAAATTTGCGTTAGACAGCCCCTAATGAGATCCTCAAACAAGTTTGAAAAATAACGTCCATTCTCAATTGGCCTATTCCAGTAATAAAACAGGAAACATCCAAATTACCACTGAAGTATTTATCAAAACACCATGTTTGTATTGCCCTTAGTCCTTTATCGTTAAATATACACCTCCGGCTTACATTTAAGCAATTTCATTATCATGCACACATGTTTATCTCAATGCGTGCCACTGGCATCTGGATCTTTTTGAACATTTCAGACTCTATGTTCAAACACGGTGCATGTCTTCCTTTCGTTATACTCTTTTCAAAATTTGATGGAACAAGAAAAATCTAGCAGAACTGTTTCACAGTCGTCGGGAAGTTTCACGTTTCTCTTTTGTCACTTGCTTCAAGACAAACAAACATGCCCCAAAATGGTCCAAATCTCTCTGATGAGGTTTTGAGGTTAAACCACTGTACAAGTTTTAATCGTTAACATTTTACTACTATATTTTTCCCAGAAAAATTCTATTCTTATTTTAATACAAGAGGTCGAAGTTTTTTCCTTCTTTAATACAATAAATCTGTGTTTAAAATGAGTATCTGTATTTTTAGCTGTCCAAACAAAGGAGAAGGTTTCTTCGACATTTTTGGTTCGTGTTGAATGTTTCGAGGAAATTGAATTCGTAAACCTGGATAAGCCCCAAAATATTATGACAACAGCGTTCTTTTAATTAGTACTTTAATCTAGTTTGATTGGCATAAAATTATGAGCTATATTCAAAATTATACGAGGATCAATTAAGCCAGAATATGGCGAAAAACAACAACGACAAAAAATTTTATGGAACTCACCAAACGAGTTTGTGAAAGAGGATATAATTTTATATGTTATTTTTTATGTCAAGAGCATTTTATGAGTGGAATGAAAAGCTTACTAAATAAGGTAAAAGTACCCAGAAAGTTTTAAGGGAAAGCATCCTTGTTTTGTATTGTTCTAGGAATACAATTTGTCAAATAATGAAAGGTTCTCGATTTATTCCATTGATATTTTTCATGGAAAATGTATTCACTTACGTCCGAGTTTAATATAATACGCTCACTTGATTGCACTAACGAGTTCCTCTTATCGGCAATATCGAACATGCTAGACATCTGAGCTATAGAAGCCTTTACGGAGAGAAACGCGAAAGAGGAGGGAGGGAATCTTTGCTGTTGGAAGATGCTGTCCAGATGTTTTGCTTAAAGAAATGAAGAAACAATTACAATATTTCTAGAAACTAAAACAATTTCGTGACAGGCTAAATGCCACTTTTTATAAGAAAGGCTGATCAAGTTATCTATTTTTAATGACTCGTAAGTGTTGCTAGAGATTATACCTGACATTATTACTATTCGTAAAGCCATTTTTTTGTTTACAAAACCTGTAGAAGGGTACAGAAGCAAAAGGTTCTTAATAAATGGCTTTTTTCTATGTCTGACGGCTATGCTGTTAGCAGCTCTAATCATTTTTTTCACTTGCCCTTTTAATAAAATTGTTGACTGGCAGTAAATTAAACATCTTCAGGATTTATCAACTTGTTTGATCTATCAACTGTTCACAAGACCTCGTATTAAATAGGTAACAGTTTGATTTTCTCACTAGAATTTTATTCTCTTTGAATACCTCCTCCACTGTTTACTACAACATTAATTATTTACAATTTCGGTTCTTTTGAAGTTTATTAAAAAGGCAATTGTATGGCAAAAGATAAATTAAAACACTTGGAAAACAAAATCGAATTTAAGACAAATAGGATAGTGAAAACAGTACTAAAAAGCATTTATCCAGCAGGCAGCTTTCTGCCGGCACTAATGAAATTTCTCCTCTCTGAGTTTATTAACAATGTGAGCCTCCCACGTTGTCTTACTTTTTCAGAAGTGACAAAATCGTGGATATAAGCACGTTTTCCGAAGATATAAATACCTAAATCCATAGTATAGTTCACTGTCATTAAAAAAACCCTAGAAATTTAGGAGAAATACAAATATCTTTTGCAAGTCCATTTTTACCCTCTCTGAGTGAATAATTTTAAAAGCTGCTTGATTAATTTCTACTATGCATTCGAAGGCATATATATTTGATTTAAATAGGCCAATATTTATCAAACGATGGAGAATATCATGAAACTCAGAAATAAAAGAAAAGGAAAAAAAGGTTGCAATGAAGTGGCAGCATTTTTTCATTAAACAACTTCCCATCTATTTCGCTTGCAAATTACTTGCTTAACAGCTTAACAGCTATTGAGTTCAGAAACAGCAAATTACATTAAAGAGTTTAAACATTGGAACATTTCTCGAAAAAAACGATTCTATTTTAGCATATCCACAGTTTAACGATATTTTAGAATACTAGTAGTTTTCAAAAGTGTTTTTTTAAGTTGCATTTGTTTGTTTATTCATTTATTTATTTATTTATTTGTTTTTAAGCAATATTTATTTATTTATAAGCATTATTTATACAGGCATGTCCAATTCACCTAAAGCTGGTTTAAATGGAGGCCTGAATACTAAACAGTTAAGCTATAAGTACTTTAATAATTTGCATATAACTGAATAAATAGCTACATAAGTTAATAAATAACCTTTTATCGATAGGAACCTACCCCTATTTAGTTAACGATGTTCTGCTATATAATGGGGACTGATTGACTAACATGGCTGTTTGTCAATTTTTTATGATTTGTTCATCCATCTGTTGTTAATGTTTACACTAAACTATTTTGTGTTAGATTGGCTTAGAATATTACCTAAATCTCTTTTGTTCTTTACGTCTGAATGCACGAGACTTAACATCTTAATCATTAATTCTACAAACCTGTAGTTTTTCTTTGCATATTGTCTGCATAACTTCTTAGTTTCTGTATAATATTTGTATTGCTCGGCTTCTACCGTTTTGGTTTGGAAGTTCGCGGCCGCTTGGATTGGCGTGTGTCTGAGGCAAATAATTGTGCCATTTTTTTAACGCGGTGAAAATGTGTCAGTGATAAAGAGGAAAAAATATTTACCATACGCATGTTTTTGGAATGTTCGCAACATAAAATGTTCGGGCAAGCTCCCAAGTAACACAACAGTCTCATAGTATGATATACTGTTTTATATAATAAAGTACTTTTGTTATTTCTTCAGTAGCCGATCCAAAACTTGAAACAAATCTTAATTTATTTCCACCTGCATCTACTATAAATTGTTTCAAATGTTTCTCGCGCAAAGAAACACGGTCAGTGGTAAATTTTGAAAGCAAACGTACAATTACTAGAACTCGTAAGATCTTAATTCAGTTGACATGCAGTCTCTGAAATCTTGTCGTAAATTCATTTACGAAAACAAAGGTGTATCTGAATCGCCCGTTCTTTCTCTCGGTACCGCAAGTGCGAGTGAGCCGGTGCTGATATCATTTTCCTGTTTAGCGGTTGAGTGGCACTTTCCGGCCATTCCTAATCCTGAAGAGATGTTGTCTCGTTATCGTATCGATCTCCACCCGTCTGGATCCTCTGCAGTTTTAAAAATCATACATGGTAAGGTTAGCAACACGTAAAAATGTTCAAATAAAAATAGCAGCTTACATAGTGAGAATTAAGATGGTCCTTTTCGACGGCAAAACCAGTTTACAAGAAATACCACCGAAAAGTCAAAAAATATCATCGGAAAAGACGTTAATAGTCTGTACCTCCCCTATGTTTTTTTATCTATGGCAAAGTCGGTTCTGCTAAACCAAGCCATTTTAATTCAGGCTTTCACTCGCATATAACTTTGTGGTATAATCAACAATAAGTAAAACAACGTTTGGAAAAGTCTACACGAGTGTCAGAAATGGAACGAACGCGATACAGTTACTATGGTTGTCAATGTTTTCAAATGTGCGATATGAGAAGATTCGTATGGAAAAAAAATTCGCTGGTTGCCAAAGCGAACAATATTTTATAAACACAATTCTTTGATTGTTCAAACTTTTAAAGGCACCATTAACTGTATTGTTAGCAGATGATGTAGTGCAAACTGTATTACGTAAAGGCACGCCGTTCCGAGCGTGTTTCTACCACGAGTATACCCTTTTTCTGTCTACCGTCCTTTTTTTTTTTTTTAAAGAGAAACGATTTATATTGAAATGTAGTAAAAATTCAAGAAACTCTGGGCTACCTCTGGGTATAATATAAACACTCAGTTTCACATTTCGTTTAAACTATTTTTAATGGGATACCCTAAGGATGGTCATTTAGTGGACGATTTTCTCAATAAATTTTTCGACACGTCAGACCAATGATACATAGGTTCTTTAAAGGTCCATATTCACCCAATTTAAAATAACTTATTTTGTTCTTTTGTTAAGTTACTTGAGGGACTTTGGTTGTCATGGAAACGTGACGTTATCAGGCAAAGTTCTTTATCTAAGACATAAGAAGCACATTTTAGTATTTTCTCTCTTTATTTAATAAATATTTTACACAGCTTACATTTATTCATCCATATTTACATACAAATTGTACCGGACAAATTGAAATCTGCTTTTTCTTAAGGTTCTGCACAAACTATGCATACTTTATCTAATTACATATCTACATATTCTTCATTTCTCTTCCAATTACATTGCTACAGGTAAAAATGAAAATAGACCAGTGTAACTGCATTATGAGAATTCTTGGTTAGAAAAGATACAACCGAGATATTCTCGAATCAGAACAAAATTTTGTAATCTATTCGTTTGAGCTACTAAACCTTCTACACAGGACTTCCCATTATAGCAGGTTTTTTACTCTGTTTGCTGGAAAAATTTCTGGTAGTAAATTGTAAATGCAACAAAGTCGGTCAATCTAACAACACAAACACCTTAATTTTGTTTAGGTGTTTCCATGACAACCAATATGTTAACGAATATTTAAAAATTAAGTGATTTTATTGGTATTCGAGGCTTTTAGATTCCAAATAATAATTTCCATTGAAGTATATCGACGACAGTTACACTTGTTTATCTCCATTTATCGATCTTAAGTATAGGGTCAGGTAAAATTACGGAGAAAACACTGATGCAGATCGCTTAAGAGAAGATTAGAAATACTATTTTTACCACGCTTATAGTGATGTTTTATCGGATAGTAAAACATCTGTTGCTCTTTCAAAACTCAAACAAAACTTTTAAATTTTGGAATGCTATCAGGCTGGCTTGGCTTAAGTAGAAATTATCCTAAATAGTTGCTCTCCATCTTGGCTTAGGTAAACATGCTGGTTTTAATAAGTGATTAATTTTTGCACTGTATTAAATCATGAAAGAGAAGTTGTTTTCTATTATAACGTTATTTTGGCAATCTGTTACTTAACTTTGTTGCACGATCCACAATTTTATATTTTAGTGCGGATATTCTTTTTTCTTAAAAAAATTATCTAATCCAAGCTTGTGCTGAAGCAAATTAGGCACAGGTTTTGCCGGTGGAACCAATGAGAATCAAATAAGTTTATTCTTCATTACGAAAATAAATACATTAGTTAGAGCCTTTTATTCCTTTGAAATCAAATGAATAAAAATATGGAGAAATTAAATTTAATATACCATATTTTCTAAATAATCTACAACCCGGTATGGGATGCTTGTTCGTATAATTATTCTAAGCTTTTAAGCTATTGATATTCAGGAAATTGACTCTTATTGTGTTATGCCAAATAAATATGAAACATTAACAAAACTGTAAAATATTCGTTATGTCTTGTGTCGTATAGGCGTTCTTAGCAGTTCATAATTTGAAGATTTTTTACCCAATATTTTGCGCGCGATAAACGCCACGGTGGCTGCTCCAACGATGGCAGCCGCCACTCCACATCCTATGGCCACAGCTAACGCGGAGATGGATTCAGCTGATTTGGAAGGTATCTGATGAATCTAGTATAAAGAAACATTATTTAAATTAATTTAAGTCAGCATGGAACTTCTACGAGTAATAACCAAAAAGCATATCAAATATGTCTCATGGTCATGGGTGCAGGGTGAAAGTTTTAGTTCATGGGCAGTACAACGAATATCTTCGGACAAATACAGTAAAAACCCATGCGTAAAAACCTAAATTTTTTTTTTCAAGTCTGGTAAAATAGGATCCTGTATTTTGGGGGTAGTTATAGGCAATTTAGGCTAAGTAGGTTCTTAACTTCTATGAAGGATATATAGTTGTTGATTACCAGGAAAATAAATAAAGTTGGGTTGGTCTTTAAATATTCATTATTTATTCACAACTGTATTAGATATTTTGTTGTAATATAAATTCACACTGTAACCAACATAAAAGAACCTGCCTAACCTTGTCTTATATTTTTTGGTATTTAAATGGCTTTCATGCTATTATCTTACCATTTTTATGCTTTTAAGATGTTTCATTGATTTTGACTGGTTTCGAGCCATTTTGAAGGTTTTCGGACGTTTTTGAAGAATCGAGAAATACAAGATGGCGGATCCAAGATGGCGATTGCTAAGAAATCATGATGTAATTACCACGTGACACGGCATCATCATCTCCATGCTGCTTATCTCTAAGAAAATATATTTGTACATACTATATAACCTCAAAGTTTCAGTATTGTTGCATTTAATATTGTCGAAGTTACCGCGGAGAGGCGGATTACGCGCTACCGGAATGAAGCTCCGTCCAAATAGGTTCGAATAGCTACAGAGTTGACCAAAGTTAATCAGTAGGATTTAACTTCTTTTTAAGCCATTTTTTCGAATGAGAATTTACCGAGAACCGAAGAAAGAAAACACTGAGGGGAAGGTAGTTCTATTGGAATATTTGATTATTATCTTTACCTTGATATCCATCTCTGCCTCTTGGTCCATTTTTGTGAATAACACTTCCCCTCCTGAAGTTGAATAAATTTTCCTATCTAAGAATAGCAACGAAAACGTATCACACTAGCATAACTGTGCTGTGTTCTTAAGATTAGAGACTTCACCAATGGGCAAGTACGGTTACTATAGACTGTGAGGGTGAAGAAGAAATTCCTAAACATAAACGCACACGACCGTATTCATAATACAAAGTAAACTCTCATCCTCTTGAAGTATCATTATGATACACTACTTTACGTGATCTTTTTTACCTTGTTAGCAATGCAGTTTAATTCAGGCGTTTGTATTTACTATTCGTTAAAAGAGTGATACTAATACTAACACTAAAAATTTTGATTAAGACCAGAAAGTACGAGTTTAGATTCCCTTTCTTTCCCTTTACATTGCTGAAGAAGATTAATCTTCTTTCCGTCAGCTCCAGGTTTTGTAAGCACATAGAATTCGAAGGTAAAGGGTAAAAGCTACTTTATATTTGTGTAATTCGTCTCTAGATCGTGTAATTTATGATTCACGCCTCTTTTAAAGAAGCATTTATTTCTAAAAGTTACCAGTACTGTCGAATTCGAGGAAGAAGGGTAAAGCTACTTAATCTATATTGTGTGCAGTTTACTCCTGGCTTATGCAGTCTATAGTTCACGCTTCATGTAAGAAAACACATTTATATCTTAGTTTGTTTCTCACCTCCATTTGTTTTGTTACAAAACTGCCCTTCCCATCCTATCTCACAATAACACGTTGTTGAATTAGTGGAATTGTCGATGCATCTTCCATTTTCACATGGCGGGTTACACGTTACTAAAATGGCAAATAAAAACTTACTATTATTTCATGTATATTGATATGAATCTCATATCCATGCTCCATGAGGAGTAAACAGCATAATTAATTTAAGAACACCAGAACTCAATTTGGCTGTAAAGCCACTAGCATGCAACCTTATTATTGTGTTTTAAGTTTGGTATCTCAAAATTAAAGAGCAACTTACTGATCAGTTTTAAATCTCTTTTTACTGCAAATGGAGCAAAGTTATATGAACCAGACTAAGAAGTGATTCACATCGGCTTCAAGCCTTTTTGAGCTCTTCTTGCGCGATGAGTCTGATTCTTTTTCAGTTGATCCTCCAACAACGGTATCAAACAAATGCCACAGATCATGGTGTTTTTCTTGACTTCTCTAGCCTTTCTTAAAAAAAACATTGTGTACTCACGCATGTCTTGGCAGAGGTGCCCAAAGTATCCTGGCTCACAAACACATGTATCGTTGAAAGAGCATTTCCCATACTCTCCACAGCCAGACGAGCCACAGAAACCTGGCAAATCGTTCAAAAGTAAAATTGATAAACTCCGCACAATTGTTACGCGGCTTTCAAAGCCTAAAATTAAATATCCTATTCGTATCCCTTGATGCACTTGACGACACCTTAGTTAATTGAGTCTGATTCCGGTTATTGACCCTCGCAATGTTATAATTGGTTCAATACATATAGATCATGGATTGTAAACTTTGTTTAAATTTTACAGCTGATTTACGTAAGCTCTTTTACAGGGTATTTGTGAATGACTTCGTCTCCCCCGAAATACTGGGGTGCAGCCAATCCATCTAACGTTATCTGCAGCATTTTGTCAGACAGACTAAACGATCCGCCAGAATAGTGTCTTTTATGGCCAAATAACGACCATACTCAGGTTCAAATCTTGACCCTCCAAAATAGTGGGGAGGGGAAACCAAGACAGAAACTACCAAACTACCACACCGCTCTCAAAGAAAGGCGTTGGTTAACTTGCCTTCAGTAGCAGTGTCGTTGCAGCTTGATCCTTCAAAGCCTCTATCACATGTGCATTTGTCTTTAGCTGTACAAACTCCAGAAACGCACGGAGACCTACACGTGCCTAGATACGAATAAAATAAGAAAGAACCATTCACTTGCTTGGACATAAGGCAGATTCCTCAAATACTTGCTACCTTACCTTTATCCTTTATTCTCTTGCCATTTCTCTTGTTCATGTAGACAACCGTCGGAGAGAACTTTTCATCTTCCACAGGTATACTCTGACAAAGCTCGTCACCATAACACTCGACAGAATGGCACTTGTTATCTACCAGGAAAGCAACCTCGCAGGTTTTCCCTCTGCAACATTTTTCAATGCAGTCCTCTACACTCTCCACCATTCCAAGCTCTTTAAGTTCCCCAGCTGTCTTGCCTCCTCTCAGAGTGTGGTTGGTTATAATTCTGCTTGGTATGCACTGATCTGGACCTTTCTGAGCTGTAGGAAAAAAAGTGTATTTTTTAAATTTCGATTTATATGTAAGACATAGAGATGTCGTACAGTTATGCAAATAAACTTTGGATTTGTGGGTTTTCTAGTGCTCTCAAGTGCTGTTAGATCCTCAGAATTCTTCATTGAAAGGTAGATGCATTTAGAAACGTGCATTGTCCTTTTTTTCAGGGGAAACTCAGGACTTGGCCATGATATGCTAAACAAGGCAAAATATGGCACTAAGATCGCGCTTAAAATGTCGAAAATTTACAGAGTGGCTTTCCAATTGAAATTAGACAACGGTATGCACTACTTTTACCATTTATTGCGAGAGATGTTTTCTATTTTCTTGGTTGATGCAAAACATTTCCGTGAAATGCTTAAGCTAATCAAGCCAAACACGTCGTCTTTGTCACATGTCTCTTCTTTTAACTCTAAATTATTCATTAACCCAGTACTAGAGACATTTAAGAAAGGTGTATGAGTTATGCAAAAAAAAAGAGAAGAAAAAAAAAAACGGATATGTTATTTTATATTACTTGAGGTTTCAAAAAACTGCACAGACAGAAGTTTAACTTACTGTATTTTGCCATCCCTTGTGTTTTCTTGAATTGCTCCAAATCATCTCCTTTCCCTCCACCTCGAACCACGTGAGAAATTCGCACGCTCCTATTGGCTGCAATAGATGGCACAGCCGGAATACTTTCGCAAAGCTTCTCACTGAAACAGCTTACTGAATAACACACGTGACCTGGCATAAAAGCTACGTCACACTTTTGATCCTGACAACACGCATCAACGCATGTCTGCATGTCTCTCAGGTAACCGAGCTTGGTGAAGTTCCCGGCTTTGATTCCGCCACGCAACGTGACGTCATGCTTTATGTCCAAATGAGTGCAAGTGGGTAACTTGACGGTGTCCAAGACTTGAGCGTTTTCTCCTTTCTGGTCCATGAGAAACATTTGGAATACTGCAATGTTGTGAATAAAATACTATAAATCAAAATGAATTGACTTTCACTAGCAGATGGAAGATGTAAAGCGTGCATAAAGAATGAAATTTAGGCTTTCCACAGTGACGAGCGACAATATGACTACATTTGAAGTCTGTTATAGTCTGAATTCTCATCACTTACATACTTGAGTATATGTAAATTTCGTTCAAAAATATAGTATGGATAACTAGAAACTTATTGCTCGTGGATTTTAAAGAGTTAGTAGTAGCAAAGACATTATAGGAATGCACACCTTGAGCTCTGGTCGCCGCTTTGAGTAACATCAGGTACAACAGAAAATGAATGGAACGGAGCATCATAAATCTCCGGATCTCTCAAAACTAACTTTGTTTGGCCTTCAATCACCTGTAAAACCCAAAAAGGCATCGTTAGTTCTCGAGGCACCAGTAGGCGCATAAGGCCATGAAAGCATAATTAATGCACATAAATAAAGAGTAAAACTGAGTGATCCACTCAGCGAAAAGACTAGGTTGGACGGTCCTTAGATCGACAACAATGGTGAGCTATTTTTAGCAATAATTTAATTTAAAAATCCCTTTAAAGAAGCCTTATTGGCTTCCCTTTCAGTATCTGACTTGATAGTCAGTGTATCGAAAATGGTAACACTGTAAAGGGTGGTAGAAACTTATTTCGTAATGTAGTTTGGCCAAACGTTATCATTGGTCGATTTTTAGCGATCTGGCTCACCCTATTTGTTGACTGTACATACAAAGCATGCTGCATTGTTGTTTTCGATTTCGGGGTTATAATTGGTTCTTACGCAAGTTTGACCGCAAATGAATGTTAGAATGTTAATCGTCATAACTGAAGAGATTAAATAATCGTAACGAAAATGGACGAAGAATTAGTATGTAGATATGCGATATTTTCTTTAGCATGGAGTTGCATTTTACAAAGTCGTACTCACGATGGAAAATGTACAATTTTCAATTCTGCTCTTGTGAGGTTCGTGACCCATAATACTCTAGATTTGTTACTCCCAAAAGCCCTTGCGGTATATTTAACAAACAAGAACGCACATGTGGATTTAGTTCGCTGTTTCCCGCTCGATACACTGTCGAGATCCTGTTTTGAAGCTTTATCGGCGAGGGAGTAACACTCTGCTCTACTGATTTTTAGTTAGTTTGTGACTGTTGACACCGAGATTAGTTTCCACTCAACAAGTCCTCGCCTTTATATTTTAAAATGATAATAAAAAGACACACTCCACGATCATTGACCATAAGCACGACATTTCTTCAGGTCTTCTAGCCAAAAAAAAAAAAAAAAAAAAAAGAATTTATCGGAGGAAAGTTCTGTCCTTCACGATTTCATTCAACAAACCCTATGCGATCGCAGACAAAGCAGCCAAACACAGAAAAACGCAGCCTTAGCAATCTCNAATAAAAACATTGAGTTATGCAATAACATGCAGTTGTTGTTAATGATCTTGTGTCCAAGTCACGAACCGTCTGACAATGTGACAATTTTAAGTCGTTTAAGCCTGACAATAGAAAGAGTGCAGAAACTCAGTAAGCAGAAGATCTTTCCTCAGTTTTCACGACATGATGTAGATTATGTGCTTCTTCGCGACATTATATTTCACAACCATTCCCCTAAATATAAAAACAAAAAATCTCGTCGCTAAAATTCCTTGTAAAATAACCATGGCGTTGGAAAATCATGAAATTTCGGCCCAAGGCAACAAGTGTTTTCGAGCTCATTCTGTAAGTGCGCGCTTCGACCAGGTTTATGCCAGGTTTGTGCTGGTTTAAGATAGACAATAATTTAGTCCACAAGACACAAGACAAATAAGCAATCGGAAAGGTAAGGACACCATTTAAAATACATCAATACGGTGTGCTAACACTCACAAATAAAACACTAACTCACCTTAAATTAAGGTAGGAGGTTTTTTGCCTTCATCGTTGCCAAATTTCCAGCTGAAAAAGGATGAAAGCTTAAACCTGAACCTTCCAAGGATCAAAATTACGTCAACCTTTTGCTTGAAATCAAGAACGACGGCAGCTTTACCTTCATAAAATTTTCATGATAATCAGCTGATTTTTCTGGCTAAATTTGGAAGCTTCAGATTGATTTCAGAACCTCGACTCCGGGTACCGTCAGCGAGGCGCGAAAACGCGGGAAAATTGGATTGAGCTTTGCAATGGCTTCGAATTTGAGTTATCAAATCAACTCTGCCAGTTTTACGATACAAATACCTACTCATCAGTGTACCAGTGGTAAAAAAAAATCTGACAGTCCAACAGGTTGGCGCAGTGTTTTCCATACGAATTCCACGCTCAGTTGTCACGAAACATAAACATACTAACAACGGAACTGCCTTGTAACTCGTTACATTTGATTATCCATTAACTGCGCTCAAAATATCCGATTGTGTCTTAAAGAATACCTCGCACACCTTGTTTGGTTAAACGCTTTCTTCCAAACTTAAGTGAATTTAAAGTGTTTAACTCTGCATGTGGGCGGTGTTTTTCTTGACTAACTATGGGAAGTGCCCAGTCATAGCATTGCAGGTGATCTACACACTGACAGAAAGCCGTGTTCACAACCGTGTCCAAATTCAGGGACGGAATATTTCACGCGCTGTTTGGCACAACATGTGGTTTTGAGCTGCAGGAGGTTATCTCAGAGGGGAAGACGCTATGATTCGTTCAAAAAGAATTCAAAACGCTGGGAAAGAAAAGAAGCTTTTGTGCCCTATGAGGATTAAAATGTTTGGTCCATTTATAAAGCAGATTAATTAGCTCACTGTGAAGTTATCCTCCAAGACTTTTGTTTTCGTTTCTTTTTCGATGTTTCTATGCAATTCGTTTGAAGACGAACAACATTATTTCGATTCTGAGTCGTGGATATTTAGAGTTTTTAACAGATCACATGACAAATCATTTGACCATTCGGTGGAGAAAGTTTTTATCTGTCTTAAATTATTTGAGAAATAACTGACAGTTTTCAGTCAGGGTTCCCACAATAAAATAGGACCATCTTATCGTGAACAAATCACCCGTTTTAAGTCTTTCAAGGAATGGTCTCTCTTTATTCAAGTAACAATTAAAAGAAAAATTAATAGTTTTCAAGGAAACTCATTCGAGGCTTTACGGGACATAATATTGCTAAATAATTGGAATTTTCATCGAGGGAGTACTGTCGCTGTCGCCTTATTTAGTCAATGATGTTGCTAAGTAGCAAGAGAAGCATTCTTCCTCTTACAAATCTGTCCATATTACCATTGTCCAGCGGAGTTAACGAGCAAGAGCACACCATTAACCTGCCAATTGCTTTCTTATTTTAGTTCGGGGTGGGGGTGGGGTAGGTGAAGGTGGGATAGGGGGAAGGGTACGTGCAGTGCCGGGGGTTAAACGGGAGTGGGAAATAGGTCTATTACATCTCTCTGCAGAGTGTTATCAATAAACCATACCAAACATGTATCTAAAACACTTTAATACATGGTATGTATTATTTTATGTTTAATTTTTTTTATAAGACAGTTGCAACTAGGAATAAGTTAGTGCCTATACAGAGTTTAATCTAACCAAACCCTATGAAAATGGTTTATGGGTTATCAATACAAGCTTTTTCTTTGTATACAGCGTTTTCACTCACGTGACGTCCAAGAGTTCACCTAATCCACCAAGAGTGTTTTGGAAATTCGACGTCATGTGAAAACACTCCATAGATAAATTTTTAAACATTTATAAACATGATTGACAAGTTTGATCACATTTGAGAACGTGAGATGCAGTGCAGTGTCTCAACACTTATCTGGATTATATTCTTGCGATGAAAATAAGACATAGAATCTGAAACACCAGCAACAACAACAACTATCAAAAGCAATTTAGTTATCATCATTGCAGTGTTTCAAATTTGAAAGCGTCTTTATCGCTTTAATATACCTGGTTTAGTGTATAATGTACAGGAATGACTCCCTGAGTCTGAATGGGTTAATCGTCCATACAAACAACAGTCCAGTGTAAGAAAAAGTGTTCAAATAGGCCTGCAGATATACGAGGGGGTAACCACAGTTTGTGTTGGTGACGGCTTTGGGATACTAGCGAAAGCTTCACAAAAACAGACTCTGTTTCGACTCTCAATGGAATTTCAGTTAAAGCATTGTTTAAAATCTTTATCTCTAGTGAGATAACCAATTCAGGAAGCGTACTGCCGTCTAATCTAAGGTCCTTGGAGTTTTAAATTATTTTAATTTTATAAAATACGCTACTCCTACAAGACCTGCTGAAAGTTATCGTTTTAAAACAAAACCGCTTCCCGAATTTACAAATCAATACATTAAATGCGCCATTACAAAAATAATGTGAACGTATTTGCGGCTTTTTTGACCAACAGCTTCTCTAACAAAGTTTGTTGATCACTCTGCATTGTGAAAGGGCACTGCCAGCACTCCAGACTGTATTAAACAACAGGAATTTTAAACATCCCTTAAATTATGGAATAAGATCGTTATGAATCCATCAAAGCAAACCATAACAAAAAAGTGATTTCCTGACGGCAAGCAATATTGTTAAAACTTCTCACTAAACAAGAGTCTAAGGGATTTCTAGTAAGATTAAAAAACTTGACCTCCCCGTATGTTTTCGCGGTCGCCCATTATGCGATCCCTTGCCGTCCTGAATAAGATTCACATTCTAGTGAATAATTTTTATTTGCCAAGAAATATTCCAAAAAGCAATCAGCTATTGCTAGTTTCCTGTTATTTAACTATGATTTTTTAAGCTTTTCAGAATTACGCTAAAATATCAGTGACAGTTCTCCTTTGAAGTAGAGTGTGAACATGCCCAGCATATGTGTCATGTTAACTTGTAGATTATGATTTGTTATTGTCAATCAAACGTCTTGTCATCACAATCACACCAGCCACACCAACTGCAACAGCCACAGTCCCACAGCCAATCGCTACTACCATGTCGATAACATCAGAAGACCGCTTTGTTCGTTTTGTGTTTCCAGTCTAAAAACAGAAATATCAGAATCATTGTCAGTCTTGAGTTGCGCAAAGGACCTACGTCTTCCTCAATGCGGTTTAGGAGACATGAGATGAGTGACATGTTCAGTTGTATGTTAGATTATAATGTCAGCTTCTTATAACGCAATGTCAATTCTTGAAATAGTATGTTAAAACAAGCAAATATTTCCTAGCTAAGAAGTTGTATTTATTGGAACTATCCACGGCATAGCTTCAAGCAAACAAAGAGCTTCGACATGAGGAGTTCTCAAGAACGATTCTTGATATTGCTGATCAACGCCCTGATCATCTCACCGTAGTGACTACAGAGAAAAAACCTGCAACTCACCCCAAAGGCTGTCACCGTGGTCATGTCATCTTCTCCATTGTCGACAATAAAAGGTTCTGTGGTTTCTGTCCCGGAAGCTTTCTCTTGAAGGTTTTCTTCAATGGCGGGTTCCCCTTTTCCTTCTCCTGCGTAATGAAAAGGATCTTGTAAATATGCCGAAATGTTATCTTGCTAAATCGGAAATCAAAAGGAAGTGAATGTTCAAGGTATCGACGATAGAAGTGATAATATAAGTAAATGGAAAATCTGAATTAATTTCGGCGGGAATTGCAACTAAAAGCTACTGTGGCAATGCACTTTTGACTGGGCTACAAGAAATTATGAAATTGACTCAGCTTAGATTGAACATTCCATGAAAATGATAAACGTGTAATCCAAAACTTCAAATATTAACAATAAGCCCCATAGTTTATACAGAAAAGGAGCCGTAGTGAGGAAATAATAGTAACCACGAGATCTGAAATCTGAAAATTGCTTTAACTGCTGTTGGCACCTTTCACTTGTGATCATATTAGCAGTATTTTCCTCGCCTTACATTTTCCTTCGAAGTACATCTTCAAGTCTTCGAAGGAAACGTTATACTTAGCATCAATGTTCATTCATATGTATGTTTATTAACTTTTACCGACAATCACGAAACAAGTCATTACATAATGCCAGGTAACAAAGGAGAAGACGTACCTTTCGTCGTCTTAGCTTTTGGTTTGGACACCACAGAAAGCATCGTGTCAAACTTGGGGTTATCAGACTGCTTGAGGGCACACGAGTCCGAATTAAAACACTTGACTAGATAACAGTTTTTATTGACCATGAAGGCAACATCACATCTCCTAGACCCACAACAGTGTCCCAGGCATTCGTCCATCTTGTTTATTCCCGCCATTTTGTAATATTTTCCAGCCTTGGCGCCCTTACTTAGGGTGACATTATAGTTCACTGCACTTTTCTTACAAGGTGTCTTGTCAGACGAGATCAATTCCAGATTCGCGGCTAGAAGAGAAGCAGATAAAGTGTGTTATCGATTAAAAAAATCAAATAAAATCCGCTATGTGAATGTTAACAGCAGAATAGAGAAACTGTGAACAAGAAAAGGCCAAAATGATAGGAAGCACTTCTGGTTGATTTTTTTCAAAACGTGGTTCATGAAAAGTAAGCTCTAGTTGGTGAATAAGGTAATTGTTCATTTTAACCTTATTTAGCCAAGAGTTCTTCTGACTTGAAATCCAAGATGGATAATCAAAGATGGCGGACATCTTAAAACCTGTGACGTATTTTTGACGATATACGTCGTCATGATTGACACGCGGTTATCACATAGTAAACAATTTGTATTCTTAACACACAAGATGAATTTGATTGCTACTGAGTGAATACTTTTGGAGATACATAACGGAGCACAAAGTGCCTCCCCTAGGCTCACGAAGAAACAAAAACCAGATTAAATAGGGACCAGAAAGATAAGAGGGTTAAGGAAAGGTAATATAAGGGACCAAAGGATAGAAAAAAACACTGGCAGTCTCATAATATTTCGGCGAAAATCGTGAAATCGGTATCAACCAAGATTGAACAATCCAGCTCTACGTATATACATTCACAGACTATGCCCTGGGATACATAAAAAAGATGAAAAGATCAATTTAATGAAATAAGTTTAATTACAGCATGCCGAATGATTTAGTCGTTGATCGAGATAACAAATTATCGCAAAATTTCTTGCTATCCTACCTGCGATACTAAGATGTGAAAGTAAAAATAAACAAGCCAGATTCACAACGGTCTCCATTTCTCCGTTTTCCCCACTTCCTACGCATATGAAAGAGAAGAAAATCAACAATAGTACATTAGAACCTTTTTCAAAACCCTATATTTGACAGAAACAGTATGAACATTCTTTCCAATCTTTTAAAATAATGGTTAGTCATGTTCTGCACCTACAATTGTAGTTTGTACTGATTTCTCTCACTCCTCCTGCCTACCCAGTTAGTCTCTGCCCAGTCTTACTCATGCATCCACACTCTCTACAAGGAGAGGTCACCTGTGCCTCGGTCGAGGTTTGCAATTAATGAAAATATATGTTTTGCAACGTATCCCATAAGTAGCCCCAACTTAGCCTACAAGAAGGTAAGGTTTGCAGATTTTGGTGAACTAAACTTCATTACGATTTCTTGTTGAAGTCATAGTGTGAGACTAATTCTTCCGTCCACAGCCTACAGCTGTTACTCTTGCGCAGATTTTATTTTGCCCGCACCCTCAATGATCTCGAGAGAAAGTAGACGGTCTGTAAAGAAACTAAGTAGAACTACAATTTAGAAACACGAAATAAACAGCAGCATTCTCCAAAACCACCGTGTCAACTCAAGTAATTTTAATCCCGACCGTCTCACCGCTACCAGAAAAAGACAGATCAGGACAAACATATGCTTCAGAAGATAATCCGGAATAGTCAGTCTTTAATCTTTAAGCATTTGTTGGATACGGAAACCGACCAACCAATTAAGGAGCGTGCGCCATTTGAACCGAAAATTAATAGCCGAAGAAGGCTAATGGATTTTAATTCTTAGCTTATTTTACGCGGCTGCCGTGAAATGTTCAATTAAGATGATTGTGTTATTACGTTTTATATTGGATGTTTGTCATCAACATTCCGGAATTGAACGAAAGCAAATGTAGGTCCAGTTCACGGAGTTTCGCTTTATGGCTTTTAAATAATGGTTAAAAATTAAAATACCCCAAAGCTCCAATTTACTCGGTTAAAAATATCTGAAAAAGCAATAGAACAGTTTATAAACTGGAAACCGCCGTGTAGTTGTACAACAAACTGAGAATGGGGCACCAGAAAAACAGCTCATGGATAACATAAACTTGTTAATGCCAAAATTGTATTCGTATTTTAAACTGCTGTATTTTTCCTGTTTTAAGTTTTCTTTTTCTTCCAACAAGAAGCTAGATGGAAACCTTGTTGCGATTTATTTTTGTATAATATAAAAAGTAATGTATCGGTTTCGCAAGAAATATATGAACTCTCCCATGACTTGTGAGATCGCGGAGCGTTTACTGTTGTTGACAATGCTTTTGGAGGTTGTAAATGTAGACTTTGCTTGATCTAACAAGCGATTCTCCATAATTTAAAACAATAAAATAAATCAAGGCATACATCCATTTACTTACCAAAGAAAATCGCGATTTCCGGAGCTCGTTAGGAAAAGATGAAGTCACTCTAGTCCCTAGAGACCATTACTAATAAATCGAAGCTGGAGCATGCGCAGTGCAGAGGGTAGAACAGTACCTGCCACTGACGACTGGTATGTTATGACAGTAACAATGTGTTTAGAATGACTTGTCACAGTAATTGTGTCTGTAATATCACCATGTTAATCGATCAAGCATCTCCTGTAAATAAACTTATTTGGCGTTTAGCAAAAGTCTCTTGCGTTTTGCTGGCTTCATTCGGACGATCAGTAACGTTACTTGGTTGATTTTCTGTATATTAGTCTCCACTGAGCTCGCGTACATTTTGCAGGATTGTTGCTAACCTAAAATGACGTATCACCATTTTGACAAATGCTTGTCACGACTGACTGAGTGCTTCGTCAGTTTAGATAACAATCAGGCGGCCCGATGAGCCACCAAGCGGAGCACTATAACCATAAGAACAAAACCTCGTGCATGCATAGGAATAGAAAGCCAGGCAACTCTTTTTTCGTGGTCAACATGGCTTCCCGGGCGCGTTCGCCCTTCGACGACGACGATAGGGTGCTTAAGCAAACTACGACGACGGTGGCAACGAGAACGTCACCAAACAAAAGGTTTAATGAGCAAAACAATAGCTGTGCACGTTTATTGTACATTCCTTTGCCGTACTCTGCACAACAAGGACGTGGAATGACCATGTTCGGTGTAGTGCGAGGAACGTGAACAACGACGGCTAATTTTTCGTCTTTCCATTTGGAATTGAACGCTGTCATTGCGTATTTAGCTCGAGCACTTTTAGAGCCATTGGGGTACTGAACAGATCTAGAGAATTGCGAATTTCGCTGTTCAAATATAAATTCATTTTTGACTTGGTATCGTCCTCGGCGTCGCTTTCGCCCTTGCTTAAGCTCCCTAATGAAGACGACGGCGACGACGACGACATTGCACAACATGTTAACCATACTCCAGCTAACAGATAGTTGCAGCCTTGGTTTACAGCGTACATTTTTGATATTGGACATCCATGTTGTAGGTTTGATTGATACCTGTCAAAACAACGTATCCGCTGATCAGTATCACGTGACTGTATCGCTTGCGCAAGTTTAAAGCTTATCGAGGTCACATGTTTTTTGAAGTTGACCGCTTCGCAGGTACTGGTTTTCGATTGGATCGGAGGCTCAAGCCAGTTTAACTTATTTTAATCAGTAGCTCCGCTTTTAGGCTTGGCTAAATATATATATATATATTATAATCGTTATCTCTGCGGATGACTTCAACAGTGACGATCCACAAAAATCGATACTCGCTCGATTTTTCATAGACTCAAAAGGGTGTGTTTCTTATTATTTAGACTTCCAACCGTGAACTCGTAAAGTGGATCTATAAGTATAGGCTATTCAGAGCGCTTTGCGTATCCAGTCATGATGTGTAAAAATGACCGCATCTTGTTGCCAAAACTTTCGATTCTGCAGCAGATTCCACGCGGCGATTAACTTGCATTCTTTCAATTTTAATTTGTCTTTTGCGATTCGAGAAATTGAAAGTGTCACTTGTAATATCAGTCGCAGTCGCTCTTGCAGGTTCTCCCTCAATAATGCTACATGACGGGGCGCACAGGGCTTCTACTGATGGGTTAATCCTGTCTAAAGATTCGTTATTATTTATTATTATTACCGCAGAGAAATGGTAGGAAATTTTCTTAGCATTCCTTACATACTTTCATTAGGGTTCTTCGTCTTGCCGCCAGGGAAGGCGTCATAATCTGTTTCAGTGACATGTCGATGATATCAAATAAAAAAATAAACCAGAAAGGGCCGATGAAATATGAGACAAGCTTTAAAATGAAGTCACGATATCAATAGTACTTTAAAAGTAAATAGTGCGTTCGAGTCATTCCCGATGCTTTCAAATGATGGCGGACTCCACCGACGCCAATAATCTGGAACTAAAAAGGTTCATTATATATCGGATCACGTCTAAACACACGTGAAGAAAGACTTGGGCAGGAAAAAAACGTGAGCGGACAAAACCGGGAAATGCCGATAAATCAAGTA